ATAAAAGGGTAGTACTTCAATGACTTGTCAGAAATGATACATTGTACACAACGAAACAATAAATTTCTTGATTAAACCTGACAGTTGCTAGGTCCAACAACGTAGCTAAAACAGACTTTCGAGTCTTGGCTATCCGGTCTTACCCTACTTTCCCCAATACATGAAGGCGTTGACGATCCCTATGAGATTTATAGACCATAACCTAGTAGTTTGGAACCCAGCCCCAGAATACAAGAAAATTCCTGGATTAAGCAATGACAAAAGTAGGAGCCACGATGCCTCGGGTGATAGAGCCTTCGCCTTCCAATGAACCGAGTTTGAATCCTAGCGATGGTTGATCATTACGAATTTGGCATCTGGCTTGCAACGACCACAGTACTGACGTGAAATATCTCCAGTGGCAAACGGATCAGGAAATTAAGTCCCCTTGCCGACAGGATAACCGTGGAATGTTCTCGTGGTTTTCCTCTCCGTGTAACGCAAATGCGGGTTAGTTCCATCAAGAAGTTTATACATATCGTTGTGATATTGAAATTTAACAGTAGTTTCAAAGCGTTATTTTAGACTTTTCTTCATTAATCTTCATGTTGCGAACGCATTCTTCTGATTTTCGTTCGAAATGACGAAATTTGGATCTTATGTTCGCAGATCCTGGTGACCAGAACTATTAGAATCACTTTTTTCATGGAATAAGGAGTGCGGAAATAGAGACAAAATACTTGATTAGATTTAATAATCTCATAAACAGATGATGAAATGGCAAATAATATATATAAAAAAACCAAATTTCATTACAAGAATGAAAAGTTATTCTCTAGAGTAAGCGTTTGAACCTCGTTCGTGTTTTCCACTACAGTTCGAAGTTTATACGTTTTCTCCGTAAAATAAATCATTTTTTTTCTTTTGTGAAAAGAAATTTTCTTCCCTGGACAAGGAATAATAAAAGCTCAAAACATCTATTTATTCATAAACAAAAAAAGATGAAGGAATACTTGTGCAGAGACCCGTTGCCCGAAATGTTCCGGCAATACTTGAACAAAACAGTAAAATGAAGAAAAGGAGAAGAAGAAGCTACCATTTTGTTTATGTGCCCGAGATAGATCACACGTAGCGAGTCGCCATTTTTTTTGTGATTACTACTTGAGTGATTTCACGGATTTCTCTTCTTTATTTTGCTCGTCTTTTTTTTTTTTATCTCTTTATTTTCTTCTCTCTCTGTCTCTTTCTTTTTTCATTTATATACCTACACTACTGGATGGGTGATCTGAAACTTTTTGTTTTGTATTCTATTCGAAAATCAGAGTCAATAAAACATGATTTTAGGAATAGTATTACGAAGGGGATCTACAGCTCACGACGTTTACTATTCTGAACTGAGGAAGCTAGAAGCATATGGAAAGCGTACATAGAATCCACAAAAGTGATGTGATTATGCTTATACCACAGGGATTGATATGAACTCTGATAAACAGAGTGAAACGCCAATGCTAGAGTTCTGTAGCTTTCGTTGAGTTGTTCAAGAGTTGTGTTGTTAGAGTTGTCCCCCCCCCCCAAAAAAAAAGTTTCTGCTCTGGGCCCCAATTAGGCTAAGTCGGGCCCTGCGAGTTGTGCCAGCGGTATATTGCGTTTGCGATTAATTGATCCCGCGACGACTTGTTGTGCCCACGACGAATTGTCACTATCTTTTGTTTTCCTTTTAAAAATAAATTTTTTCTGCCAAAAAAAAGAGAGAAGAAAAGAAAACATTCCCAGCAACAGAAGTTTTTTTTCTTGAAAAGCAAACGTTATTTAGTTGTTTCCTGTGAATTCCAAGTTATGCAGTGAGTGCTGCATCAGCAAAAGAGAACATTAGAAGAAAGAGTGTTCCACTGGGGAGTGTCGACTTGCATGATGCATGAAGAAAGCAGACTCCATTTTTTTTATCATTTTGTTCTCGTAATCGCGTTCTGTAACGATCGCCACCTGGACGATAATCAATACAGTGTGTGTTCAGGAATGTTCTGTTGACAGAGAAAACAAGCTTTAAAGCGACATTTAAGTTCCTTTTTCGACAACAAAGAAGAAAAAAAAATTTATTGTTGAATAATTCATGAATTTAAAATGCCGCCCAAAATTTGTAGCCAAGGAAGAACTGTTGTTACATAAAGATCTTCAAACTGAAATGATTATAATTTAAACACTTTTAGACGAGATTAAATTGCTAAGATCAGTTGATACGCGTTATTCAAGTCAGTCGTGAATGAGGAAATTATCAAGTTTATTTTAAATTTTATTCTCTTTTTATTTTTACAAAAATTTTCCTTCTCTCTTCATATGGTCATACGAAGTGCACTGTCCTACATACGCACTCCGTCCATTTTCGAATTTGTTTTTCTCTCACGATGGTTCTTTTGCTTTCGCAACAACTCAACTCATTTATTTTTATATCTTTTTTAAAAATAACTGTGTAACTTTTTCTGAATGAAGTACTAACATGGCTACTTAGTGTAGCAAAAGTTTATAAGCTAAAAAATTCACATTGCAGAGAAGTGCTCAATGAGTTATTAAGCACATTAATGAAGCAAACATTAATTAAGAGGACGCCATACCCCGGAAGAAAATTTCCGTCACAAATTCTCTTTCTCCTTTATTACTAATTTAAAATTTAAAAGAAGGAAAAATAAGTTTAGGCAAACGTAGAGTTTGTCATGAAGTATACTTCAAAATATTAAAATGCAAACAAATTATTAAAAGAGAACTTCTACGTTGCATAATCCTAAGTTATCTCATAAATTATTTTCATTTGTATATTTTAAAAGTTTCTTTTCTTTGTTTGACACTTCATGGCTTATTCAAGGTTTGTTTAAACTCACTTTTTTTTACACTTTAAATTTTAAATTAATGATAAAGGAAAAAGAGAATTTGTGACGAAACTTTTCTTCCTAGGTATGGCGTCCTCTTAAACAAAGATGTGTTTTTATCTGAGGTGTTGAAAGTGTATCATATTATGAAATATATTTACGGGTAAAAACGAATATTATCAACAGATACAGAACAACGCTGAATTCAGCAAAATTCTACATTTTGGGTTCTAAGTCAATCAGTATGAGGCACATTAGATATAGTTTGCGTCAACGAAATATGATTTTCGTAGAGCAACTTTCATCTCAAAATAAGATTCCCTCTTAATTACGTGTATATTTTTGAGACTCCACAACAATACTATTTTGAATTTACTTCATTTCAATCATCAGAGAAGCAGGGACCGATCAAGACAAATTTAGGCCCAAGGCCCACCAAATTTTTCGGGCCCCTTACAAACTATTTTGAAATTAAATAACTAAAGAGTAGTCCTAACAATAAAAAGAATCTACTGAACTGTATAATTCAAGAGAAACATTCTAAAGAATTTTTGAAAGCAGACAATTGAAGATTATTTTTCTAAGATAAAGTTTACGCATGTATATATTAAAGGAAAATATAAAACAACAAAACAATGTTATGTCAAAATATAAATAGTTAGGTGACCATAAGCAATAGATATCAGTGATTTTTGCTAAAAATCACTGATATCAATTGTTTAATTATTTTTTTATTGTAAACTGTAATTATTTTTTATTTAGTACTTGAACCAATACAAAGTTAGGCCAGTTGTTATTAGTTTTAAGGATAAGTGCAACATGTAAGCTAAAATATTAAGCTTATTAATTATAATTTTTATTAAAATTTGCATTCCAAAAGAGCCAAAATTATATGTGCTCATAGAAAACTAAAAACACATTTAAATAACAATTTATTTTGAAATAACACATTTTAAAATATTAAAATTCCTAATCAATGAAAAATTTACACTCAAAACATTTAATAGTATTCAATAGTAGATACATTTAAAAGCATTCAATACAATAGACTTTTTAAAAAGGTTATTTATTACCTTTTTAAAATTTGGTTTAAAATTTGGTGGGCCATTTGTTCATCAAATAATTTTATGAGAATTTCAAAATCATGTTTTGTAGTATTATCCGATTCAACTTATAACATATGTTTTTCCTGCTTTAAAATTTGATCTTAAATATTATTAAATATATATTAAAGTAGAATATAAAAAAAAACATGTTATGTTCAATTTGGAGTCAACAAACATTTTTGCTGTGTCATTAAGCTGTAATTATTCATTACTTAAATTAACATAAAGCTGGCCCACCTTACTTTAGAATTTGATGTTTTCGTGAGTTTGGTTGTACTATCATAATAAAAAATGCATTTTTTAGAACTGTTTCTTTTACTATTTAAAAGAAATAGTAACATTAAGGACCTTTTTCTAATTTTTGAGACCCCTCAGAAATTGTGGGCTTTAGGCCCATGCCTAATGGGTCTAGATCAGGGTTTCTTAACCTGTGGTTCATGAACCCCTAAGGGGTCCATGAGTTATAATTTGGGGGTCCGCTGACTACTAATTTTTAAAACGTTTGAAAACCTACCCATTGCTTGTAAAGCGAGCTATGGCAGCTATAATTCCGTTTTCTACAGCGTATCTTTGCGAAGCGGGATTTTCCACAATTGTGACAATAAAAACATAACATCGAAATCGATTGAATGTTGAACATGATATGCACGTTGCTTTGTCGAAAACCATCACCAATTCAATTTATCAATTAAGGAAAAGCAGCAGCAACCTTCACATTAAAGATTTTAATTTTAAAATTTTTATATACTATTAAAATAATAAAATTAAATGTTTTCTAATAATTGATGTTTCTTGCAATTATTTTTTTCACAGGGGGATGGCCCGTGACTTCTTAAAATTTTCTAAAAGGGGTCCATTATATCA